GGTCTAGTGTTGTTGCACTTCTCATTCTAGTTCATTATGCACTAATGGCTTTTGAGAATGTTTGCATCTCAAAGTTGCCAAATGTTGTAAGTGCCTCATTTTTGTACTGCAGAAGAGATGCTTGAACACTAGCATGCAAATCTGTAAACTTGGTGTGAACAAAAGCCGGTGACCAACACAAAACCTATGCATTAATGAACCCGCTTGGTGAGGCTGGGGCTCAATGTGTGTCTCCAATGCCACCAGTTTGACAACCAACATGTTGTGCCTATGACCTTTTGATGGGGTTAACACATTTCAAATCCTGATACACACCACTGTACACTGTGAATTCCACATGTACATGTACATGTACTGGTATGCACATGTACATTTGAAAGAGCAAGGCCAATAAGACACAGGAGGTACAAAGCTGCTTGCAAACAATGTGATTTCATGGAGAATCTTAGACATCACTGCCTGTCTGCATCTATACAGGTCTCTAAGTACTTTTATGCTAGAAACACGTAAACAAGATCTGGCCATCTTGTACATAGCCGAGCCTGACAAGTTAAACCGCCATATGTATCCTACTTCACCGCTATACATGCTAATCCCCCTGTTGTTTTACACACAAAAGTCAGGGAGGCTGTGGAAGCAAAGACCACATGTTGAACTTGAATGTTGTGCAGAGCCTATTGTGGTAGTAAAAATCATCCTGTGGTTATGCCCCGAAATATGAAGGTTGTAGTGAGAAATAATACACAAATACACTTCAAATGACTCTGAGGCAATATCCGTCATGTTTGGCTGTACATCAAGAGTTAGCTACTAAATCCCTGTTATGAAAATCAACCTTATCCACCACAGTAACACAACCTACAAGTGGCTAGTCACTGAACCTACCTGCAGTTCCAGCCATGGCTTCTCCTGATCTTCCTCGATAGTCATGGGTATGTGGTTAGATTGGGCTACCCAGGTAAACCATATGCTCTCCAACACTCTGCAACAACAGCAAAAAAAAAATCCAAGATGGGTACAAATCTGTTAGTGCTTCATTAATTGAAACCAAGGTGATCTTTACTCACAAGTTGCTTTCAGTCTGCTCAAGTTTAATTTCAGTTTTCTTTTATAACAAAACTTCAACCTATTCCAGACTGGAGTGCTCAACATTTGTGCTTGGCAACAAATTGATGATTGGTTAAGCACAATTTAATTTAATGGTACAATTGATTTAATGGTAGGATGAGTCTGACAGGGGAAAGATATTAAACGCCATGCAAACACTGAGTGAATAAACCCATGTGGCAATTACATGTATGTCAACTGCTGTGGTCTCTCAAGTTGGCAAGCAACCTATTGAACATAGAGACAAATCACAGCAACAAGTTTAAACTTACAGCCTACACAGACAGAAACACCTCACAATATACTCTGTGGTTTTTATCAACAAACTAAAGCAGGAACAGCTTTCAGAGGACGGGGGAGACCATGCATAGAATTTGATGCACAGTCTTAGTACAAAGACCTTGGTGAATGCATTGCTAGTGACATTGAGAGTATAGGAGGCTCCTTAGGGGAAAAATGATGAGGAAGTGACAGTTAAATTGGATTTGAGATATTTCAAACATTTAAAATACTTCCAGAATTGGACAGCTTGAAACAAAGCAACCACTTGCAGACAGCTGGTTCTGGCTGCTATTGCGACTCTATAATGCTCCTTTGACTGGCTTCCTCCATACACCACAAAAGCCCCACCCCATTACCTCATAGTTTCAAACAGCAGCAGAGTCTTCCAGACACCAAGCAAGGGCACATAGAACAGAGCAAACCGGACGTAGTACGTGACCATAAGAAATAGATCCTGCAAGAAAAAAAGCCCCCAGAGAAACCACTCAGCTCCAGGATGGAATGGCAGAATTTCAGACATGCTGATTACATGTATTTCTGTAAAACTGCACTGCTTTATACAAGTTACATTAAGAGTACATTGGAAATGTAACACATTCCAGAGAAAACTGTGGAATATCAACAGATGATTATCTTTCACCAAATGACATTACTCTTATCATGACTGTGTAGTCTTTGGTATTTGTTTCATAAAAAACCTGACTAAATCCCATCATGTCAACAGTTTTGTGTGATCCAGATCAGTACACACTGATGAATGTTTCTGATTGCAATGGTAAGAACAGTTCCATACATATTCATTATTAGTTTTATACAACACCTGAATGAATCAAGTGAAAACCTTGTACATATAATCTTGTCCAAATGAAAAACACAACACAAAGTTTACATGTTCCGCACTAGTTCACGCTGTAACAGATGATCCTGTGAATCTTACAATCTGCTCTAATCATTTCTTGTGACTCTTGAACCATAACCATTACTTATGGGTTCCAAAATTTCCTCATCTGACAAGACAAAATGCTAGGTGTTTTGCATACAATAGTATTGCCCCCAATTTTTGTGTATGTGTGAAGAGCCATCAATGCACCAACCGTGTGCAGTCGTGTGAAAACTCGCAATTGTGCTCACCATGCATGCAAGCTGTATACCAGTATATTATTGGTGTAACCATTGGTTCACTGATTACACCAAATACATGTAATTCATGGCACATGATTACCATCCAACCAATCAGATGACCGACATTTCTTTAGGTAAGGTATGAAGTGTTGTATTGAGCATAGTGTACTGTGCTCCATGAATTGTGTGCAGTGGTCATTTGACGCAGACTTTTGCCACACACACAAATTTTGTAATGTGGATATATCATACAATGGCGTTGAATTGTAAAGGCACCTTTCCATACATACTTTTTCAGGCGCATTGTGTACATGATGCCTTCATGCGTTCCACTTTCACGGACACAAAAATTGACTACATTAACATTCAGCCATCAAAATCGACCCCAGGAGGGATCTTGATGGATATAAAACTCATGGTGAAAGTAATGACGCGCATATGGAAAGATGCCTTAAATCTTTTGCTGTATTGTGAAGATGAAAATGCAGCAATGGCTGTTTTGGTACTGCATTAGAGGGGACATTGTCTACAGAGGGAATCAGGAAGTCTGGGATATGGAGCTACTGCAATGATGTTGCATAAGGCTAGCATCATAACTGAGTAGCTGAACTATCATGCTAGGAACCTGATTTAGATTATGGAGCCGATCAAGTGGAATCCATAAATAAATTTACGTTTTACACTTTAAGTTGACGATGAACAGGAAAGTGTTGGTCACTTGTGGAGAATTTTCAAAATGAAAACCAGACAACACAGAAAAGTCAAAATGGATTTATGTTCATGACACATGCCAAAATTTACCCTGTACGGTCACATATATGTTAGACTCACTCCACACACTCGCTATTTCTATCTTGCTGTTTGTATTGATTTAACAATGTAGGTGGTGGCATTATTCAGAACTTAATAAACCATCTGTAAACATGATTTTGAGATTTCAATAATGGTTTGCCTGAATGGATTCACAGTTATTCATTTGTTTTTCAATCAGGTACGAGGTTCCTGCAATATATGTAAATACACACAAACCAGTGTTACACCGCGGAAATGAAGTTCAGTAGTCTATCAACTACGCCGCACAGACTTACCACCCACTCCTTGCGGGTAAAACAGTAGTAAAATGTCATGAACTGGAAGTAGACTGGAAACAGAAGAGGTGGGCCAACTGCAACAAAGAAAAATTATAAGATGAACACGTACCTGCTCTGTGACATTCTTAAGCAAGGCCTCGCTCACTCAGGGTGCAGCCGGTGCAATATATTAATAGAATAAGATCTTAACTGCACTGTTTATGAAAGTTTGTATTAAATGTAGGACACGTAACAAGAGCAATGGATTCTGCTTAAGATGTTTTCTGATTGGGAGGAAATGATTAAAGAAATGTAATCAAGAGAGCACAGTAGATTCCCATGACAGCGCTCCCTGATATATCTGTAAGGCTCTTCTAAATAGAAAGCTCTTTTTGTCCCCATCCCGGGCACTTCTCCCATTTATTGCATACATTTAACTTTAGTAACCAGTTTTTTACAGACCTTTTTGGATACAATGCAATTTCAGTCCCAGATATAATAAAAACATGTGACATGGCTTCTGTAACAATGCTCCAAAGTTTTGATATGGCATAAAGAGCAATGGTAAATCAGCATAGATGAAGTGCCCTCATGAACAGGCTACTGCTACCAAAGCCTTGATGAGACACTCCAACAGAAAACTGCATGTCACTTGTTCATTAAAAATACATGTATCAAGACTTCAAAAGGTAGACAAGAAAGCAGAAAATACGTATACATAAAGAAGACTCTAACGTACAGAAACATTTCTTAAATTTTTGATTAGTTCATGGTGTTTGGGCTGTTTAAGTGTGAAATGTACACATATATTGTTGCTGGGGGGGGGAGGCTGGCTTCCAGCCCTTCCATATTGCTTTTATTAGCAGTAGGAACCAGTACCGGGGGTACCTTATGCATATGCATTGCCTCACCTCAACTTCTACCACACTGCATACACACCATCATTTACATGTATGTAAAAAATTACAGTAAAATAAAAAATTCACCCCATTTGACATGAGATATTTGTGTGTTATTCTGTAGATCACTTAATGTGTATAGCCTTTAAACATCAGATTACATGTAAATGTATGTTGAATGTTGCATGTGCACAGTGTGAAGCATGCATAATGTGATGGCACTGGTTAGAATGTTGTACATGTACAACAAGCCTCGACATTAACGGTTGTCCGATTGCCCGGGACAAGTAATTTCTTCTTTAGGGCAAGTAAAAATGAGGGACGAATTGCGTGATGGACAGGTACTTTTTTCTTGAAAAAAAAATGCCTGTTTTTCGTGGCCAAAAGAAAGCTTGTAAGGCCACAAAAGCTTATAAAAAGTAGTAAAAAGTAAACAGCTACGTGGTGTACAATGAGTTTTTGCATCGTTACATGTACAATCTCGCGTGTATTAAGTACATGTACATTGTACATATAGCAAGGCACCCTTCCACACAAGGGAAAACTGTAAAATGCCCTTGTGTCTGGGTACCAAACCCCACTGGTTATTAACGCACCCACGGTGCAGCAGAGCTTTGACAGCCGGAAGCTCGAAGACTGTTTTACATGTGGCCATGACTTCAACGTGAGTGAATTTTACAGGGTACTTGTGTGTGTGCTTATTGCATATATGACACCAGGCAAAATCATTGAGTGGTTAAGAAATAGCCATTGCCCGAACTTGTATGAATGATGCATCAGAGTCCTGCGCACGTTGGGGCAATATATACTCTCGTCATATTATGGCATAGCAATTTCATCATGGTGATTGGTTGAAGGAAGGATCTTACTGTCCAAGGAAGCAATGAGCAACTAAACCGGGGTTTGGGCAAGTAAAATCTTACCTCAGGCAAGAAGATTTTCAATGCTACATGTACATGTACTTGCCCAATGGACAAGTAGTTACAAAATTAATGGTGAGGCCTAATGTACAACATTCAAATAATGTCTCCCATAGAGTGCTACAATAGGAATCCACTCCATTCATCCTATTGTCTCTTGCATAAAAAAGAAAAAGGCATACAATAAATACGCATACAAATATGAAAATTCCTAGCTGTACAAGGCTCGTCCAACATTTTTCTACACATACAGGTACCGTACATGTAGCAATACTCGGCATTTTGTGGGAAGTTTAAAAAAGCAAAATAACAAGTTTAGGGAAAACACAGTGAGCCAAACAGATTAACAATTTCATCTGCTTGAAATTTCAGCGGCAAATGGATCCCAGACAAAATGCAACAACTACAAAGTTTCAGGGGTTGTAACAGGAGTGACTTACTGATAAAGAAGTACTTATGCTGATGGTTGTAAGGCATGGTAGCCTTTCCCTTTGCAGCATCTTTCTTGGCAACTTTCTTGGGCATGTTTTCACCAACCACAAAGAGGGCTTCCAGTCTTACATCAGGATCCTTATTCATCTGGAGATAGGCATTACGGGTTGAGGACATGATTGGTAGCAGGTTACAAAACGATTGTCTTTTTGTGGTTGTGGAGTCCAATAAAGTGTGACTATCTCATTAACTGAAATTTACAAGTACCGGTGCATTCCTCACAAAGTGCTTATTTTGAGCAGACAAACTGAAATCTCCCCAGATTCTTGAACATTCACTCTTACCATTGGCATCTTTTTGCCATATTTAACATAAATATGATATTCATTCAATACAAAGTACTGCCATATTTTTAGCGGATGACAAACAGAAGATTTGTTTGTTTGAACTGTTTTAGGTCTTATATTTTGTTGGACTGGCTTCAGCAGGCTACACCCTTGGCTACACATGTACATGTAATTTAACCTCACTATATTCTATGGAGGCATCTGCATGAAACATGAAAAGGGTAGGCTTTGAGGTTAAAAGGATTTCAGTGGTTGGCAGCAAAAAGTAGATAAAAGATTTGTTTGACAAGTCACTTAAATAAGCCACTCACCACATTTGGTTTTGCATGGTGCTGGTAGTGCATGTGATTCCACCAGTTTTTTGAGGCACCCTATGAATGAGAAAGATATATACATCATTAATGAAATGAATAATTGCTGTAACAGGAGGAACATACATGTAGGGGCGTACTGAAGGCTTTTTCTTGGGGGCCGGGGCTGTTGAAAACACATTTCCTGATTGACCATGGGTGAATTTAGCAATCTTGTTGACAATGGCGGTGATAGGGATGGGTGGGTTCTGGTGTATTTGACACCAAATACCGGTACTGCTATTTGATAGTTGGTCCTTTTCCTCACTAAACACACAGATCTACATTTAAGAGTATTCTACATGTACTCTGAGAATTGGTCTAACAAAACCAAGTCACAGTGTGGATATTGGTTTGAGGGTGGGGATCAGATTGTGGTGTAACATCAGTTACTGATCATAAAGACCAGTGCAGACACAGCTTGACAGTGCAGGTCCATCACAATTTGTACTGGTCCATGCTAATCCTGTTCACAGTTTTGGGCATCAAGTTTAAAAAGTGTTATAGTAAAAGATGACAAATTTGATGTCGATTTTCACGTTCAACTGAGAAACAGAAAACCTACGTGTATACCAGTATAAAAAAATAAGTGTTATCTTGGACTCTTGATACATGTACATTCACTGCCTCTACCTTGCAAGGTTTGTCAGTACAAGTTCCAAACACCCTTTTTATAGGCAAGGAAATTTGTAAGTACTCTCAAAATGATAATCTGAATAGAGATAAAGCTTCACAATCGTACCGATAATTAATGGTAGTAAGACCAGGTGACAAAAGCACACCCTCATGAATGAACATTACATGAAGATATCACACACTAGTCCTTCCTCCACAATCTACATGTATATCAAATTGGGGGATCACAAATCAAATGCATTGGTGTTTTTGCAACCTTTACCATACAGTTGATGCTAGTTAACTCTACAAGAGCAGTGAACTGGCACACAATACGATAAGCTGTTGGAGTGCTGCACTTTTCGTCAAACGTTTGTTTCTTCATATGAAAGTTCCATAGTAACATAATGTCTGTTGAGCTTGAGGCCACACAGAGACTTTCCTACAAACGGTTTTAAATGCAAAGACATCGCTTTTGAGGAAGACATACGTGACCAACACAAACGGAAACAGTGACACGTCAAGTCCGTGCCTGTTGTACGGCTTTCTAGGCAGCAATGGACCACGATACTCATTGCTTTGATTAAATTAAAGATGTTCATTGCTTTGATTAAATTTAAGACCTTTGGGAGAAGAAAATATTAAAACAATACAGGAGAGAGATATTCACAAAATAATTACTGACTCTGTGAAGTGCGACATGATGTTGTAACACCATAAGGGATGCATAACACCTTTGGCTTGGCATCATCAGGTGCTATGACTCCCTTGAGTGTTACTACATTACATATCACACATCACAGCGGTCCATCATTGTTGAATGCAGCACTTCACCACAACACTGACACACTGATCAACCCATCTACTCATGGTGAAGAGTTTGTCAGTGCTCTGTCAGAAAACCTTTTGAATGGAGTTATTGTAGGATGATGCAAGGGGATAATTGTACAGGATCATTTTCTGGAGTGATACATGTACATGTGTACCGGTAGTGTTCTTCTCTACTCATCAGCCAGATTGAACTGTGGACTAGACCTCTGGTCTACAAGTAGCTGTCTAGACTGCCACTCCTGTGGGTTCAAAAGTTTAAGGCTACACAGGCTTTAAGTTGAAATTAATTACATGCTGTCAGTTATACAATAATTTGTTTTGAATGCCATGTCCATAACCATTGTCACCAATGGAACAGTGCGAGACACTACTGACATGTACCTCCCTGCTTACGAGACAATAAGCAGTTTTCGCACTATGCACTTACCCGGGTAATCTCAGGGGTTCATGAAAAATTTAACCCCCAAAATTTAACAGGGTTGAAATATCTCAATGTTAATTACCTAAAATGCCACTAGGTGGGTTAACCCACCCATCTAAGGGTCACCTGTGCATAGCCCTGTGACAATTCCCCCAGTTACCTTCAGTAATGTGAATGCTCCAATCCTGAGCTGTTTATCAAGTTTGAACAGCGCTGCCATCCCAGCCTTGCACATGCTGCAGATGTCTGCGGCAGTTGGTGTCTTGTTATAATAGTACATGTAGGTTTATTTATAACATGTATAATTTTAATGGAAGACACCAGTGTATCCCAGCCAGTAATTTTATTTTGCACATGCTAAATGTAAGTCCACATTTGCAAATTGCCATCTGCTTTGAATTTATGGTTAACACACTGGACAAAGCTGACAACCCTGGGAATTTTTCCTGGGCTTAAGTTGGCCAGTAAATAACATCATGACTCAGTTACAGTAATTGAGAGGAAAAGTTCCTGGTATGTCCACACTGAACTTAAAATGAGGAAACTGTACCCATCGTTTTGGCAAGTTGGACCAAAAAGAGTCCAGTGTGGCAGGGCTTTACTTATATTTTTAGGGTGAATTCTGTAGTGCGAAACCAATTTTCTGGGTTAGGTCTACCTAGGTATTAACAACCACCCTGGTAATCAATAACCTGAGTAGGTACAGACTAGTCTACTAAGGGTTATAGATGTTCAAATTACATATATACACAAAATAAGTACCGACTTACTGCTCACTACATTCCAATTCCACTTTTGCTTTGTACTGAGGGTTCTCGAAAGGAAATCTTTCCAAATCACAGCTCTAAGTATTTAATTTTGATGTACATGTAATTCTGAGCAGGGGTATCTCCAAAACAGAGCAAAATGAAAACTGCGCATGGGATTTTTGAGAAATACATGTGACAGCTTTTTGGTAATGCTGCACATCATGAATCTTCCATTAAAAGTCTTGAACGTCACCAAAAATCTGTCAAATGTGACGCTCACAACGAGCATGTTGTACTCATCATTTCTATTTTAATATTATATACTTTTGATGCAACCAAGCTTACAGATTATTTTCAATGGTTGATAGGTACATGTATGAGACCTGTGGGAGTAAAGTCGGAGTGATTTAAACAGTAAAGAAATGAAGAGAGCTAAATCTTTCTAATCACTTTCCATCAATTTTGTACTAATTTCTTCATGGCTCATTTTTTGTTGAAGATCTTTCTGGTGGCTTTAAATAAAATCTGTTGAAAAACATGCTGAATTTTTCTTTTTTGTTGAGAAACGTTTTGGAATCAAATTATCTGGTACAAACATTTTTACTTAAAACTTTAAATGAGCTCAACTTCCTTAGATTTGCACTGGTAGCCAACCAAATGTCCAACAAATGTACAAAGTCAGGGTCTGCCAAATTATCACCAAAATGACAAGTTGCATTTTGGTGCATCTTTGGAAGAATATACCACAATTAACACACCCATGCTTTTCATTTGAAGATTTTCAACTCACTAATACATATAAACATGTAAAAGGCTTCTTAATACTGATTGATTTTTTAAATTATTTGCCAGACTTCCTATGAGCACCACCGAACAAAAAAAAATCAATGCATCATTGGAACAGCTAAAGTCACTCTATAATCTTACATAATACACCATGTAGAGATAAATGCAGGGTTGGGCACATGTCTGTGTATTGATCATATCACCTCTATTCATG